AGCTGGAGCCCAGACATTAGCAAATAAACACCTATGGTTTAGAGACGGCATACAAACAACCTGCTGGCAAATGAGCAGATAGATGTGAGGTTTTAGGCCTAAATTCCTTAAATAGCAAAGGGATTAAGAGGGCTTTCATGAAGAGCTCCCAGAACTCACTCCAGGACAGTTTGGAAGCAGCTTTTCAAGAACAGACCCATGCAAAAGCAGCCAATGACCCTACTGTGCCACAAGCCACAACCCTCCCACACAGACTGTAGCTCTCCCAGAACAGGCCAGACCAGTGAAGGGCCACAGTGACCCTCTACACAAGTGGTTCTCAACCTGTGGGTCGTGACCCTTTAGGGTTGAATGATCTTTTCACAGAATCACTCAAGACCATCAGAAAACATAGACATTTTCCTTAAAATTCACAACAGTAGCAAACTAAGTTATAAAATAGCAACAAAAACAGTTTTATAGTGGGGTGCCCACAACATGCGGAACTGTATTAAAGGGTCACAGCATTAGGAGGGTTGAGAACCACTGCTCTGGGTCCACACAGATCTCTCCAACACCCCACCCCCTTCTCATTATCCAATCAACAAGCACCCTGTCCTCCTTCCCTGCACAAACATTCCCAGTTGCCAACCCATGAAAGAACTGTGGTTAAAAACAAATCCTAGCACTCTGGAGGTAGAGGTAGGCTCAGGAGAATCTCTGTGAGTTCCAGACTAGCCTGGTCTACAAAGCTATACAGAGAAATCCTGTCTCAACTCCCCCCCCCATAAAATTCTCTTGTCTCTTTAACGGTCATTTCTTAATGAACAAAAGTTTCATCATTTTGCAAAGGCCCAAGTGTGATGGTTTGGCTTCTGTGGAGTCTGTAACAAGCCCTTGCTCTTATCAGATTGTGTGGCTTATTAAAATGATGGTTTCTCTAAAGGCAGTGCCAGTTATAAACAGAGTCCACAGGCTTCCTAGCATGAGGGACCACTGTATGAAGGGTGTGCTTCCTTGGGGCTTGTACTCATCCCAAAACAGCACCTAAAAGGGACCAAACTCTCTTGTAGGTAACTTGGCTTATGGATAGAATTTCTGAGTTGCTAGAAAGTCTGTGATCCTCAGAAGGGATGAGACATCAGAGCACTTTAGCTGAAGCCAACTTCCCCCTGACAGATCCTTACAGTGACCCCTCAGGGACCAACTCCCAAGGTCGACACAGAACATTGGTTTACAGCATGAGAGTTCATGCCATTACTTCTGCTCACCCTGCCTCCCTCCATCAGTTGTGGAGATTCCTAGCACCTTGCTGAGCAGGAAGTGGTGAGGAATAGTAAAAAACTATAACAAATGAGCCTGGAAGGAGATTTGCAAATGTGCTGTCAGAAACCTCAGAACAAGGACAGATTCCCTGAGTATGAGACTCCCTGAGGTCAGAGGACAGCAGTTTGTGCTTCCTGTCACCGAGGAGCTGACTAGGGGCCTAGGGTCCTTGCCTCCCCAACATGCTTTTCTGAATGGTGTCAGCATTTAGGATTGATAGATGAATGGTACTGGGATTGGCCAGGCAGCCTGTGCTGCCCAATGGCTGAAATGAGGAACTCACTCTGCGCCTGTGCCTGTCATCCACAAAGGTAATGTCATCTGCAGAGTCAGAACCATTCAGGACACATCTAGGGTACCTGTGGGAGCATCTAGGATGGGTAATGAATCCCAGCTCTCTTTCCAGCTTGTTCGCATGACAAATGGTCCAGTACAGTGATGAAGAGAAATGGAGACAGGTATATCCCCTCCATGCACATTCCAGTTAACTTCCCAGAAGCAAGCACAAGTAGGGTTACTTCTGAGCAGACTTCTCTAGGGTGACAGATGAAGAGCAGTGGGGTTTTGTGTTTTGGAGAGATGGGGGAGGGCAAAAAATAGGAAGTTTGATTTTTCTGGGATTTTTTTCCCTCTGAAAGTAAATAGAACATTAGGAAACCATGCTGCCAAGAAAGATCCCTTTGCCTGGGAAGTCAAGAGAAAGATAAGGCTTGATGCCCAGAAAGGTTAGTCTGCTAACATAATGTAGCAAAAAATGATTTTGGAGAGCTGTGGTCTGATGAAGGGAATGTGGACCATCCTGCTGGGCTGAACAGCCTGCTATGCAGAGGCAGCCTATAAATAGCAGTCAGAGCTTGCTGAGAACAGGCACTGGCCAGTCACGTAGCCTCAACTGCTGAGGTCTCCCAAACCAAGAAAAGTCATTCAGTTTGATCTTGTCACCAATTGCCTGGCAGATTTGAGTAAATCTTTGTCTTACCTTCCTTTGTTCTGAAACAGAATAGTTTCTAGTTGATTAATCCATCAGTTTGCAAATGAGATTCACAGATGCCAAGTACTAAAACTAGGCTGTGGCTAAGAATCCCAGAAAATTTCAGAGCAAAAGTCTTGCAAAGCTTATGCACAGTGACGGTCATTATGAACCAAAGGATGACAGGGCAAATGGCCTGGTCATTGGATGTCTTGCCAGGCCACCATGCTTCCTGACACTGAGCACTGGGCTGTCCAGCAAGCTCTTGATGATTTGTTAGGCAGAATCAGGGCCACTGATGGAAGCTTGTGTCTATATCTAATGGCTACTAGGGCCAGGGAACAACTCCATGAGATGGTATTATGCAGATACAACATTTATGTTAAGTCCGTTTACATACAATACAGAAACATTGTGCTCATCACCTGTGTTGCCAAAATGTGAGGAAGGGCCTCCTGGAGTCAATCAGAAGGCCCTGGAGGGGTTGGTCACATTCTATTACAGTCTGTCAGCTCTTCCAAGAGGGCAGGTGGTTGGCCACTACGACCAACTGATGTTAAAGATATGTTTAATCTAACAAGAGACCTTGAGCTAGTAATAAAAACAACTCACAGTGTTTCCCGAGTTGTTTACAGTGAAACCAAACTTCAGCCAGGAAAAAGTTACTTTCCCTAATCAAAAAATTTCATATGCTTACATTTAACCAGCCCTCCCACCATCAACTCAACAATTGGAACGAACAAATATTTATTAAAATCATAAAGGTGTTCTACTCTGTAGGACTAAAACAGGAGTGCTCTACTACCCAGTCAACGACCTTATATCAAGGTGGCATTTTGAATTGTATCTGCATGATGACCCAGGAAATTATCAGGTTCAAAGACATGATTCCCATTTAATGGAAGCCAACCAGGTCCCGTAGCTCTTTTTGTCTTTGGAGGATCTTCAGCCTTGACAGTTTTACCCCACAATGACCTCTTTCTTTGCCAAGTCCCCAACCTTCTGGGCTGCTTCCCAGCAGAAATCATAGAAAATGAAACTTGATAAACTGTCACCCTGACATTGTTCTCTCATGGGAAATGGTCCTCAAAAGGGTGAGGAAAGCCACGTTGTGGCTTATCTATCTGGGATACCAAGTCTTAAGCAAGGGTACAGCCAGGATTATAACTACCAGGTAAGCCAGAATGGTGTCAGAAGAAAGCAAAGACGATGACACCCTCAATCTCCTGCTCCTTCCCACAGTAGCAATTTTCATTTAAATAATTTTTATGGGTTAAAATAAAATATCCCCTACATATTCACTCACGGCACCTCTGTGAGACAAATGCTGTCTTCACTTAAACCTGATCAAATGGAGCTGAACCAGATCATTGGCTGATCGCCATTGGTCATCAGTGACAGCCTTCTTGATTCCAAAAGAAGGTTTTCACATCTGTTCTTCACCTCATTTCCTTGGGAAGCATATAAAACACAGAGCAGAACCCCCATTTTAAGATGAGTGCGGATTCATATAGCCAGTAAGACACACAGCTGAGCTGGGAATGGTGGTGGGGATAAGTAAGACTGGGTCACTCTGAAGCGACCAGCCCCCCCCCCGTTTTAGCAGCCATGACAGGCTAACATGTGCTCATCTGACCTTGCTGCTGCTACTGTCCTGGTCACTTGGAGGTCAGATGCCCTCCTCGTGGCAAGGAACCAATCAGAAGTTAACTGGCGGGGTTGTGCTTTAAGCCTCTGGGTGTGCTTTATGGACAAGTGCACAACAGCGATGTGCAGAACATAGCAACCGCCCTGGGAGGACCTATGGGCCATAACAACCAGTTGACCAATCGACACAGGGCAGGTCGTCCAAGCATGGAAGCACACCAATCCTGAGACTGTTTCATACTCCTGACACTCCCCTTACCCTGCCCTTTAAGATTCCCACCTTGACGTTTCTCGGGGTCTTTCTCCAGCCATCCACCATGGTGAATGGATGAAAGGCTCGAGCTAGTGGGGTTAGCTCATTAAACAACTACAATAAAAGACTCTTTGCTTTTGCATCGAAATGGGCCTCTTAATGATTTGGGGGTTCAGAATTTGGGCACAACAATTCATGAGCATTGATCACATGGCGTGTTTCGGGTTGCACCAAAAATGGGAGAAGCTCTGACTTTATCTTCCTGGAGCAGTAATGGTGAAAAGGGAAGGACTGAGTATATGGAGTAAACATCTGCATAGGATGAGACATGGTAACACCCCCAGGCTTTTAAAGCTTTCCTAAGTAGGGGTGTCAGGTGGCATACAGGATGCCTGTGGTAGCAATAATAAACAGGGTCATACTTAAACTAAAAATTGTTGTTTGCCTGAAATGCATATCTAATGAGTAAGCTGTCCTCTTGTGTGTGACTTTAACCTGGCTTTCCCATTCCTCTTTGGTCACTGCTTGCAATGCCACGGAAAAGACACACTGATGTAATGCTGCTGGAAATCCAGCAACGGTAACTATGACTGGAGGCCTATCAACATGGCTTTATACGACCGCGCTGAAGTTAAGCACCTGCAACACTACTTTCCAATTTGGAGGATGTTGCATTATACCATACTTAGCTAAAGCTAATCTTTGTCACTGAACTCATAACCCTGTCCAGACTGACCCTTAGCTGCACCTCTCCCCGGGCAGCCCTCCTGGACAGAGACCCACTCAGCTCACACCATCTTGCTGTTGAGTAGTTAAGCCACTTACTTGTATGGGATGTGTTTACTGCCATTGACAAGAGCCAGGATGACGTTGCCCAGAGCAGACAGCGAGAGGCACAGCCCCGAGCCTCCTTCTCGATTTTTGCTGAGCGCTTTCACACAGCTGCCCAGATCAATGAGATGTAGGCGACTGCGACCTCCAGACACTGGCACGGGGAGAAGAGGGAGAAAGAGAGTAGGTAAGCTCTGGCCAGCACATTGGCTCCTCTTCCTGTAGCTCTTTGGGAATCTTGGGGAAAGGAAAAGATTAGCATTTGGTGACACAGACAATTCAAGTTGGGACTTCAAACAGAATCAGTGCTCTTAAATTCTGTCCTCCACATCCCGCATGCCCTCTAAAACCTACTGCCACTTATTTTACAAATAAAAGAACAATGCCTGTAGATCAGATGGTTCACTGAAGGAGGGTAAGAGCTTAACTAGACTGTGCTCTGGATAATGGAGTTCTGAAACTTACAAAGTTAAAACCTGAGCAGCTCAGGAGTGATTATCTACTCCAGTTTGTCATTGTCAGGTAGCCAACCTAAGGCTCAGCCAGGAATCAGGTTGGTAACCCCAGGAGAAATTTGGAAGATGTATGCTCCAGGTGCAAAGGCAGGAGAGACCCAACTATTTGCTGAGTGCCTGCCAATTGCCAGGTGCACAGACATCCATCTCATTCAATCCCCACACAAAATCATCCAGACACTATCATGCTCTTCTTACAGATGAGAAAATTAAAGCCCAGAAAAGTTAAGAATTTCACCCATGCATTCTGGCTACAATCAAGTAACAGAGACCAGGATAAATCTTGTATCCAAAACAATCAAAAATAAACAGAATGTATAAAATAGCTGTTTTTAAGACACTGGACTTTAGTCAGGGCAGAGCAACTCTTGAGGCACATGAAACAAACAAGGAGAATGCTCCTGGTCTCAGCTAACCCTGCTGAGAGAGTTTCCAGGCTCAGGAGACAAAGAGCCCAGGTAGAAGAATCTGGTGGACCCACTGAGCTCAAGAGAGATAAAAGCCAGCGTCTAGGGAAACCAAGGCGGCAGCCTTGTGCAGCACAGAACACCAGAAGGAAAAGAGCTGGGGGATTTGCAGTCTCTGGAAGACCAGTTGAATGGTCATAGGCAGATGCATGTGAGAGAAATTGCTAGCAAAGGGCAGAGGTGCCTGTTCCCAACAGTCACAGCAGAAAATCTGAAAGCTCATGTGAAAAGATAAATAGGCATGAAGAAAGCAGGTAGGTGATCCCCACAAAAAAGAAGTATCTGAAATAAACCCACAAAAGTATAGCTATTAGATTCCACAGAAAAGGTCATGAGAACCAGTTAATGCCATTCTGTGTCAATGTTCAATGCTTACATGGCCACCCTAGGCTGTATAACAAGGTCTGTCTCAGTTAAAATAGAAGTGTATATAATAACCTCTAAGAGATTATTAAAAAAAGATGGGAATGTGTCTGAGAGTTTATGGCAGGTTACACGTTAACAAAAGGAAAGATTAATATATTTGACAATATATCAATATAAATCTTCAAAATGAAATAGAGAAAAATATAAAAGCACACAATAAAAATAAAAAACACAGAGAGACACCAATGGATAGGAAATTAAAAGAACTACAGAAAAACCTCAGATGTCTAAAATGCACATGGTTGGATTTTTCAGAGTGTGGCACAGATGCAATATTTGAATAAATAATGGTCCAAACTTTTCCCAAATGATGAAAACGACCAACCCACAAATTTAAAAAAAACTCAGTCAGCCCTGGGAACAAGAAAAAAGAACAAACCCAACGAAGCCAATGATAATCACACCACTCAGAGCAGAAGGAGGAGAGAAAAACAGCCTAGGCAGCAAAAGCATATTCCACACATGGAACAAAGGTAAGCATGGTGGCCGATTTCTCCTTGGAGATAAGTAAGATAGCACAGTGACATTTTTAAAAGCCTAAAAATTGCCAAATGAGCACTCAACATCTGGAATAAGTATCATTTCAAAACAAAGGGGAAAGAAGTGCATTTTTTTCCTTAATGTGGAGCTGGGAATGTGGCCCATTGGGTATGAACATTTGTCATGCAAACATGCGGGCCTGGATTTGAATCAAACAAGAAACCAGGCACCTCTATGAAAGTCTGTAAGCCCAGCACTACGGGGAGGGATGGGAGCAGAGACAGGTGAAACCCAGAAGCCCTCTGAGCAGCAGTGAGCCTCACTGGGAGAAACCCGGCCTCAGGGGAGCAGGGCAGAGGGCAGCAGAGGAGGTGGGACACATTCCTTGGGCACACATCTCCACACCCACCCCAACGTGTGGGCTTCATGGAAGGGATATTCAAGTGGTACCTGGGTACACACATCTGGGTACCTCAACACCCGTAGGAAGAACTCAACCACCATTCATGAGGGCAAGGTATAGGTTTGCTGTGGGATAAGAACTTTGGGGAATCATCTTGGAGCCTTCAATTCCCATGTCTGCTGCTGGTGGTGAATATTCCAGGAAGAGCAGCATTGCATCTCAACCCTTCAGCTTCTCCAGCTCAGTCCCACACTTTAGACACGAGTGAAGTTCATTTTGCTTATTTCCAGCTGTCCTTGGGGCAACCCCTTAAAAGGGCGGCAATACTGCTTCTCCTCTATCCTATTTCAGATCGTGCAAGATTAGCTCATGGCAATGATGTGCTAGGGAAACCGTTATTTTTAAACAAAATATCATCTGTTTTGCAGCCCAATTATATAGACAGGAGAGGCTTAGGTATTCCTCATGCATCTCAGATGAAAGGGCAAAGACAGAGACCAATTTGGACTTCCAGACTTAATAGCCCATTTGATGTAATGGAATAAAATGTATAATGTACACACAGTAAAAACAGAACACAGAGAACAAAAGGTGGCTTACACTGTGCTGGAGAGCTTCTTTCTAAAATACCTGTAATTACCTGCATGACTCAGAGTGAGAGGCACCCTCACACAATGGAAAGAGCTGCTCCCTGCCCTCTACCCACTGGCATCCGGGTGGCCAGAGAATCTGACTTTCACACATGGTGCTTCATCTAGACTGGTGAGAAGCCAGTGGGCACGGGCTGTTTGATAGCGTTAAGAGTCGACATCCCTGCCAGGGGCTAGGGAGAAAGTACTTGAGCAGTGACTGAGCAAAAGCAGTGACGATTAATCCAGGTAAGGCGCAGGTTCCTCATCATCTTCTCATGTCCTGAGAGCAAGGACACGAGAGTTAAAGGGACACAGTGGAATCCGTCTTGAGCCACTCATTGTTTTTAGACAGTGCCTCTGTGTATCCCTGGGCTGGCCTTGAACTTGTTATTTTTCTGAAGATAATCCTGAACTTCAGGTGCCTCTGTCTTTGCCTCCTACATGCTAGGACAACAGGCATGTGTCACCACACCCAGTTTACGTGCTGCTGGGGTCAAGCTTGGTGCACGAGACAAGCACTCCTCCATCTCCGCTCTATCCTCAGCTCCAAATTCTTTATGTTTTAAATCTACAGCTGAACCAAACCAAGTTACCCACATGCCTTATTTTCCCCACAGGGAGCAATTCTCCTAATATCACTTAATGCCTACATTATGCATAAATGGGACTGAAATTACAGATGAGAAAACCGAAACTGAGGTCCACACATGCTGACAAAAAAAATCATTCCATGATTTCATTGAAAATTAATGTTGAGGCAGACGGAAACCCACAGTGAACTCTAGACCATGCCTGGCCTTTTACTCATCTTGCATCAACGCGGCTTCCAATTTGGCAGCACTCTGGGATCACCTGGGGCCGGCAAAGAGCTACCACTGCTGCCTGCCTCCAGATCCTAGGCTTCTCATTTAACTGGGTTGGAGTGCAGCACGGACACTGGGATTCACATAAAAGTTCTCCAGGCGACTGTCATGTGCTGCAAAGTCTAGGGACCACTGTCTTCCCACGTGACTGGGGAGTCAGTCACACTCCCTCTCGTCCAGTAAGACACGGACTGACAACCATGGCATGCCAAATGCCGGTGGACTTTAGCACTTTTGCTTTGTATGCGCCAGAAGATTGGATGCTTATGACACTTGAGTTTATTTTTTGTTTGTTTGTTTTTGTTTTTTGAGACAGGATTTCTCTGTGGCTTTGGAGGCTGTCCTGGAACTAGCTCTTGTAGACCATGCTGGTCTCAAACTCACAGAGATCTGCCTTCCTCTGCCTCCTGAGTGCTGGGATTAAAGGTGGGTGCCACCAACTTGAGTTTATTATAACTAAAATATAAATAATACAGAGACCAACAATGTAGTATTTTGTAAGGAGTTTGAGCATTTGTATGCAAATTAAATTTAATGTTTTGGGAAGGTATCTTAAAGAAAAGATTCAAGTTAAATTAGATGTACATGAGAAATTAGAGTTGAAAAAAATGAAAAGAAGCTGGAGAAAGGTTGGTTTCAGTTGACAACAAATAGGTCCTTTTAAGTTTTTTAATCTCTTTGAAGAAATTAAAATTTTAAAAATGATTAAAATTAGTAAGATTCATGAAAGTTAGAACTTTAAGTTAAAAACTCATCTCTAAGGGAAGTCCACACTGCATGCCCCTAAGGTCCATGAAAAAATACACATTTGTTATGCAAACGTATCTTTCAAAATGATTCCTCTCTTTATCGGACTTTCTCTGTGAACCAACCAACTTTGGGTAGTGTAATACACTCTTAGCATCAGCTGGCACGAGGGTGGTTTGCAAGCTGAGCTAGATATTTAAAACAAATGATCAAAAGGTAGAAGAATGCATTTGGGCTCAGTTGCATAGGTGTCAGTCCATGGTCACGTGGCCCCAACGTGAAGCAAGAATGAACATCATGGTGGCGAGAATGTGTAGAGGAGGAGACTGCTCATCTCATTGCAGCCGGGAAGTATAAAGAAACAGAAAGACAGATCTATCCTTGCAAACTAGTGACCTGCTTCTTCCAATGAGGCCCCACTTTGATTTCTACCATCTCTCAATTGGCTATTCAAATTCTGAATCAATCAAGTCATTACACCGTTTATTAGGCCAGAGCCCTCAGGACCTGTCTCTGGAGTAGCCCTTACACACACACTCAGAGGTATGCTTTATCCCTAATAATTCAAAACCCAAACAAGTTGGTCTTGCTCTCTGAAAGCAGCTGTACTAGACAGCAGAG